AGAGAGAGAGAGCACATCGATCCCGGGACTCCAGGATCATGACCTGAGCCGAAGGCAGTCGCTTAACCAACTGAGCTACCCAGGCGCCCCGAGGGTAGATCATTTTAAATCATCTATCATATATTAAATGATATTTAATCATGTATTAAATCATATTTTAAATCATACTTTATTTCCTTTTTAGTAGCTTTGGTATATTTTTAATTATCTTTAGACATTTACCAGTCTAGCTAACTAGTTAATTTTATTGACATATAAGTGTTCATAATACTCTCTAATCTTTTAAATCACTACATTTTCTGTAGTTGCATTTCTTTAAAATGATTCCTAATACTTTTTGCCCCTTCTCCCCTTTTCATGAACCATTTTGTCATGTATATTTATTTTGTGAGTCCTTTAAAAAAACTAACTTTTGGCATTTTTATTCTCTTGTTTCTATATTTGTTTTCAACTTGATTACTTTCTGTTTTTATCTTAATTATTTCCTTCTTTTTCTTTGATGTTTATTATGTCTTTCTTTTCTAAGTTCTTATGTTTAATGCTTAACTTATTATTTTCAGCTTGTCTTTTCTTTGTATAAAAACACATAAAGTTGTAAATTGCCTTCTCTAAGTAGAATTATTTTCTCTGCCCCATGTTTTAATTTCTTTTCACGTATTTTTCAATTATTTAGGTCTCTATATTTGTATCTTATTTGAACCATCAGTTACATAGGAATTACTTCTAATTTTCTTTTAACTTTTCAAGAATATGAGTATTTTGGAGTGATCTTTTTCATACTAACCTCTGCCTTAATTGTAGCATGGTCAGAGAATTTAGTTGATATTGATTTGTTAAAACTTATTCAAACATGTCTAATAATTTAATTCTTGATCAAATGGTTCATGGGATTCAATGGTTCATGCCCGCTTCAAAAAAAATTTGTATTCTCTAGATGGTTTGTGCAGGTTTCATATATATATAAATCAAATCATTCATATTATTATTATTTATTTTGCTAAATATTCCATATTCTTGGTCTAGTTAAATAATCATTAATTTAAAGAAAAGCATTATTAGGGCTATAGTTCACATATACTCTAGATCTGAGAATAGATAATCGTGGTATTGAATATTTTAACAGAAAGCAACTTTTATAGATGTTATAAAGTAAATAATGAAATTTAAAAAAAAACTATCCTAATATCAATAATAAGTGCTTTCAGTAGAGCAGTGATATTATTTTTGTATTTTAGAAAAGCTATTTCTGATACAGTATAATAAATCAATTTATCAAGGTGCTGCTTCTGTAAAATTTAATTTTTTAAAGAATGTTCTTGCAGTAAATAGGTTGAGTTGGTGATGTTCTGTGATAGAAGTATACTGAAACAGATATTTTCAAAAGGAAGAGTCAGAGGTTGCCAGGCAAAGAGTTGTGTGGAAAATCAAACTAATAAAAGCATACTGGAAAAACCTAAACCTAAAAAAAAAAAAAAAAACAGTGTTGTAGAGAGTATTAATTAAGAGAAAGGATGACAAGACAGAGAAGCCAATTTATGGAGAAGCAGCTTATGTATGTTTTATCTTAAGTATAATGGGACCAATCAAAGAAGTTTGAAGCTCTGGATAATTATCCATAAGAGCATTGTTTTCAAAAGGATACTATGGCTGCAGTGTATAATGAGAGTATCTGAGATTTGATTGGATTTAGTTAAGTATAGTTGCTGGTAGACAAGTTAGAAAGTTTCTCATTTATCCAATACACAAATCAGTATATGGTGGCTACTACATTCAAAGAAACAGAATGAGAAAACAATGGTGGAAAAATACAAAGTCTCTGTTTCGCATTACATCTTCATGGTACATATGAATAAATAAGTAAATAATATAATGAGTAGCTATTGCAAGTAATATGAAGAATGACTGGGAGTGGTATTTTCAATAAGGTTATTTTCAGTAAGGTTATTGATGAAAGCTTCTGAGGAGGTCACAACTGAGCAGTCATCTGGAGAAAGTGAGTGAGAGCCATCTGAATATTCAGGGACAGGGATTTCTAGAAGAAACAGCAAAGGTAGAGAGCCAACAGGACAGTAGCCAAGGAATGAGTCGAGAGTTGCTTTTAATAGTGTGTTACCAAAAATAGATGGAGAGGAAAATGTAAAAACAAACAAAAAAAAGAACAGGCTCGCCATTAACTGGGGTGTAGTGGAAGCCGAGTCTTACTGATGTCTCCTAGGCAATGACTTTCCAAACTGAGCAGATAGAGGTGCCTCTGTTAGGTTGTTAGGGCTGCCATAATTGGGTGGCTTAAACAACAGAAGTTTGTTTTCTCACAGATTTGGAAGCTAAAAGTCTAAGATTGAGGTTCAAGATCAGCAGGGTTGGTTTCTTCTGAGGCCTCTGCTTGGCTTCTAGATGGCTGTCTTCTCCCTGGGTCTTCACATGGTCTCCGCTCTCTGCCTGTGTCCAGATCTCCTTTTCCTGTAAGGACACCAGCCATACTGGATTAGAGCCCACCCTAATGATCCCGTTTTACCTTAATTACTTCAATTATCTCTTTAAAGACCCTGTCTCCTAATGCAGTCACATTCTGTGGTACTGAATGGGGGTCGGGCATCAATATATGAAATTTGAGGAGCACAGCCCCCAAACACTTACTGGTTACACTGTAACAGTGCCATTTTCTCGGGCGCCTGGGTGGCTCAGTCGTTAAGTGTCTGCCTTCGGCTCAGGTCATGATCCCAGGGTCCTGGGATCGAGTCCCACATCGGGCTCCCTGCTCGGCGGGAAGCCTGCTTCTTCCTCGCCCACTCCCCCTGCTTGTGTTCCCTCTCTCGCTGTCTCTCTCTCTCTCTCTCTGTTGAAAAATAAATAAAATCTTTAAAAAAAAAAACAAAGAAACAGTGCCATTTTCTCAGATTTGGTAAATTGCATTGTGATTACAAGAGGATAGTGCAGGGAGAATCTTATGTGAGGGGAAATGACCTGTGAGAAACAGAGAGAGAGATTTAGGAAATTGAATTTAGATAAGAACGCTTTGAAAAGTCCAGTTTGGTGCAAATCTTTCAAAGAAGTGACTAAAGGAAAATACACTGGGAAAGATATACTCAGGCAAGAGCATGACTAGCTAAGAGGTCTGGGCTTTATTGTGTATATTAAGGAGAATTACGTAGGGTTTATGAGCATGAATCAGAAGTGTGCTTCAGGTCGATTAATCTGTTAGTAACACGTAGTTTATGATCAGGGGTTAGAACATAAATCTCATTAGCAGTAGAGATTGTTCCCACTGAAAGCTCATCTAGGTACACTAGGAGCTTAGCTAAATTCTTGTTTTGCTGTGGAATAGAGAGGAGTTTATCAGAATTGAGTGTTTTCACAGTGACACTATGAAGGGCCTCTTTGTATTTCTCCTACAGACTATACTTTGTTTCTCCTGTCACAAATAGAAATAGGATTGCTCCCCAGTACAGCTGATTTCATGGAATTTCATAATGTTCTGTTCTTTAGCTCAAATAACATAAGAGTAGTTAATAACTAAATACAACAAAGGGAAAATGATTAAATATAAATATTCACTGTATATTCTGGGATTTGTTGTGATTGTATAAGCAAACACAGGTACCTCTCTGCACTCAAAGCTGATCTCTAGTTATTTGTGCAAATGCAATAAAAGACAATGTGCTCGAGCGATGTTGAGCACTTTTTCATGTGTCTGTTGGCCATTTGGATGTCTTCTCATTGCTCGGCATCAGGGAAATCCAAATCAAAACCTCAATGAGATACCACCTCACACCAGTCAGAATGGCGAAAATTAACAAGTCAGGAAATGACAGATGTTGGCGGGGATGCGGAGAAAGGGGAACCCTCCTACTGTGTTTGTTGGAATGCAAGCTGGTGCAACCACTCTGGAAAACAGTATGGAGGTTCCTCAAACAGTTGAAAATAGAGCTACCATACGATCCAGCAATTGCACTACTGGGTATTTACCCCAAAGATACAAATGTAGGGATCCGAAGGGGTACGTGCACCCCAATGTTTATAGCAGCAATGTCCACAATAGCCAAACTGTGGAAAGAGCCAAGATGTCCATCGACAGATGAATGGATAAAGAAGATGTGGTATATATACACAATGGAATATTATGCAGCCATCAAAAGGAATGAGATCTTGCCATTTGCAACGACGTGGATGGAACTGGAGGGGGTTATGCTGAGTGAAATAAGTCAGTCAGAGAAAGACATGTATCATATGACCTCACTGATATGAGGAATTCTTAATCTCAGGAAACAAACTGAGGGTTGCTGGAGTGGTGGGGGGTGGGAGGGATGGGGTGGCTGGGTGATAGACATCGGGCAGGGTATGTGCTATGGTGAGCACTGTGAATTGTACAAGACTGATGAATCACGGATCTGTACTTCTGAAACAAATAATGCAATATATGTTAAGAAAAAAAAGAAGAAGAGAGCAGGAGGGGAAGAATGAAGGGGAGTAAGTCGGAGGGGGAGACGAACCATTAGAGATGATGGACTCTGAAAAACAAACTGAGGGTTCTAGAGGGGAGGGGGGTGGGGGGATGGGTTAGCCTGGTGATGGGTATTAAAGAGGGCACATTCTGTGTGGAGCACTGGGTGTTATGCACAAACAATGAATCATGGAACACTGCATCAAAAACTAATGATGTAATGTATGGTGGTTAACAATAAAAAAATTATTAAAAAAAAAAAAAAAAAAAAAAAGACAATGTGCTCATTTTCAAACCAGAATTCTTAACACTCTTAGAGATTGGTACTCAGTATTTGTAATACGCACAGACCCAAGCCTCCCAAATGCCACTTTTTCCATTCTTAGACCTTAATTTCGTGTTATCCATACCATGTGTATTCAACTCATTAATCAGTCAACATCGATGTAGAGCTTAAGATTTATAATGTTTTCTCATACACAATTTACCTTTGAATATTCTATTGAGAAACCTCTCTCTCTCTCTCTCTCTCTCTCCCCCTCTTCTATATATTTTGCAGACACCATCCACCTTCGAGTTCTCGAGTCTTCCCCAATTGGCACAGCCATTGGGAGCGTAAAAGCAACTGACGCTGACACTGGGAAAAATGCAGAAGTAGAATACCGAATTATTGACGGTGATGGGACTGATATGTTTGACATCATAACTGAGAAGGACACACAGGAAGGCATCATAACTGTGAAAAAGGTGCACAACATCAGTTTAAATAAGCACCTGCCCATTTAGCAAATAGAGATTTCATTATGTGCTATCCCCTCAGGCATTATCCATTAGGAGACGTCACTGTCAGTCCACATGTGATTTATATTATGCACAAGTATGAGAAACACAAAGCCAAAGTTCTCCTTGGACATTTTGACCAAGTGCTTTTGTTGATTGAAACATGAAACCTGAGTTCTTACAAAGTTTAAAAGGCAAATTAATAGATGTGTGACTCCATTTCTGAGCCTTGTGAATAAAAGCCCCTCCATAATAACATTGTTTTCTTAAGAAAAAGCAGTTAATAGCCAATAATGGCAATATATCATCCCAGTTGGAGGCATAAAAAGTAGCATGCCATCTATCCAGATGTATGAAGCAATAATTAGAGCTGCTAATAAAAAGAGACAACATATTTTGAAAGATAATTTAATTGTTCACATTTTCCTTTCTGCTATATAAATTAAACTTTTCTGCTAATTATGCTCAGTGATACAGTTTAAAGGTAACTAGTTTTTTTTTTGTTGTAGAGTCAGTACCACCATTATAAGAAAAAATTAAGGTCCTGTAAAAGTTAAGGTCCCATAAAAGTTAGATCATATTGAAATGTGCTAAAAACTCTATTGCATGAAGTAACCACTGAAACACTGAGTAATCACAAAACTTTCCAGAGATTCAGTTGCCAAGGCCAAGGTATGCAACCAAATGTTTTTATTTTTTTATTTTTATTTTTTAAAAGATTTTATTTATTTATTTGAGAGAGAGAATGAGATAGAGAGAGAGCATGAGAGAGGAGAGGGTCAGAGGGAGAAGCAGACTCCCCGCTGAGCAGGGAGCATGATATGGGACTCAATCCTGGGACTCCAGGATCATGACCTGAGCCGAAGGCAGGCGCCTAACCAACTGAACCACTCAGGCACCGCTACCAAATGTTTTTAAATGGACAGTGACCAGCAAAGGAGGAAGCAGCTTCTTTGTTGTTTTTCATGCCTGGAAAGTAATAGTAATGCAAGTAGAATCTACTGCTTATTAGATAAAAAAAAAAGGAAGGTTGAAGGAATCTGAATCAACAATGTCTTTTTTCTGTTAACAAAGCATACCTTTTAGAGGAGTGAGGGGAGGAGCTTGATTTCATACTTGTGACAGTTACACTACATCAATATTTAAGTTCCATTTTTTTGTTTCATAATGTAACTTAATTACCAAGTTGCTATCAAAGTTTCTGTCTGTTCTCTTTACTCAAGGTTTTCCTTATCTTCAATGTTTCCTACAACTGTTGAAAGTTTTATATTACTCTTCAAAATTTTATAGTTTATGTAGTATGTTGCCATTAAACTGAACGGAAATAATCACAACATAAATGTAAAAAGATAACTGAATTTTTTGCTTACAAACATTAAGCAGTAGCCAATACCTCAGCCCACACACATGCACACGTAAACACACACAGTCTCCCAGCTCATTTTTTATAACGAGTCACCACATTATGAGATAGGTTTTAATATCCTTTCCAATTTGTCCAAGATTCAAAATCTAATTTTCCTATGTTCTGAAGTATTTTGCATTGAATACATAAAAAGTGAAAATTGAACCCTATCCAATATGTAAAGGTCCTATTACAATTTTTTATTACTTTTAATTACTTACACTGAACAACCTGACAGAACTCAACCAGGCTTTAAAAATCACACTGTGACTTGAAAAGAATATAATCCAATTTCCCTCACTCTAATTTGATGATTTATTTATTTATACAGCCACTTGACTATGAGAGCCGAAGACTTTACACTCTGAAGGTTGAGGCAGAAAATACCCATGTGGATCCACGTTTTTATTACCTGGGACCATTTAAAGATACAACAATTGTAAAAATCTCTGTAGAAGACGTGGATGAACCTCCTATTTTTAGCAGATCCTCCTACCTGTTTGAAGTTCATGAAGATATTGAAGTGGGGACGATCATTGGTACTGTGATGGCAAGGGACCCAGATTCTACTTCTAGCCCCATCAGGTAAGTATGCCTATGATTCAGATGAAAGAATGGGAATTAAAATAAATATAGAGACCATGAAAATCTAATTATAGCTTTAATACATTAAAATATATGAGTCTTTCCATGAGTTGTACATAAATTTGAAGAGCACAGGTGTTTAAAGTAAATTGTCTCTGAATGTTTTGGGGCAAGGCATGCACAGCTTCATCATTTGGTCCAGTTTAAATCATCCCTTTTAGCCTAAAACCTAGCTTGTATCATCTGTCTCTTTCTTTAAGGTATTTGTTGTTCTGATCTGGGTACAGATAAAGGACACTGTGTCAGCTGTGCATTTACAGTGTAACCAAATCACTTTATTTGTGCTTTCAGTTATTAAATGATATGTTAAGTTGAAAGCTGTAACAGTTAAAAGAATATAATTACAGCAATATTACAATGCAGTTATATTACATTTTAGAAACTCCCCTATACTCCTACCATCAAAGAAGGGAAGGTTTTTGTTTGTTGTTTTTGTTTTGGCTGTATCAAAAAATATTTTAAAAAAATATTAAAGCATTCCAGAAAGATCATAGTAATTTCATTTTTTTTTTTTTTTTGCTTTGCTTTCTTATGGCAGCCCAAAAATATATGGGATGTAATAAACATACAAATGAAAAAGACTCAAAAGTTTTTATTGACATTTGGTCTATCATTTTAAAGAAATACAGATATCTATATATAATATTGACCATCGAAATGACTGTTCATTTTAAACTGTTAGTACATGATGTGTTTTGGATTTCATTCATTTCCCTATTCTCAACAGGTTAATTTTGTCTCCCCCTTGTTCCACATGGACCAGTCAAGTAAGGGTTTAAGTGATGGTTAACAATTTCCAAGCACACTCTTCTCTGATTCCTAAGAATACAACAGCAGAATGTAGAGAATCTCTAATTTTGTATGCCATGTGACTAACTCAAGTTAAGGTTAAAAGTGCTATAGGTTCTGCCACATCTTCAAGTGAAGTCATATTTCATATATATTAAAATTAGCATTTGATTTATGAAATTTTATCAAAATATTTTCTTTTTTATTTTGTTTTCATGTTTCTTTTAGTTCCAGTGTAGTTAACATACAGTGTTATATGTTTCTGATGTACAATATAGTGATTCAACAGTTCCGTATATTACTCAGTGCTCATCAAGATAAGTCTGCTCTCAATCACCTGTTTCCCTCATTCCCCACCCACCTCCCCTCTGGTAACCATCTGTTTTTTCTCTATAGTTTAGAGTCTGTTTTTGGTTTGTCTCTCTCTCTTTCTTTTTGTCCATTTGTTTTGTCTCTTAAATTCCACATATGAGTGAAATCATATGGTATTTATCTTTCTCTGATTGACTTACTTTGCTTAGCATTATACTTTCTAGGTCCATCCATGTTGTTTCAAATTGCCTAAATATTTTCTTATATTCACATAGAGCATCACAGGTTACATATATGGTAATCGTGTACAGCTCCCAGCTGCCAGCATGACTTCCCCATAATTGCCTTTTCCCAAGTCCGTTTGTCTTCATTGAAATTGCTGTATTGCTCGGATATTTTTTTTCCTTTGAAGCTTTTATATAACCAATATACATGTTTAATTTTACCCATTCAATACTTTCCAAGCGTTTTCCTGGCATAGCTCCTAAGTAACTGTAACAGGCTGTGTGCTGTGTTCCTGGTTTTAAAGTGGCCTTTTTAAAATTAAATATAATATTTTAAAAAAAAGAGTTCAACTTAAATCCAGTGGTGTTATAAAGTGGCTATATAAAGAAATTCTCCTCACAAAGAAATAATTTTGCATCCTCTTATAGACTGATGGTTATTATACGGCAATATATGCCTGGATTTTGAAACAAAAAGGAAATATTTAATCAGAATGCAAGTCTAAGGAAAGAATCCATTTATCTTTACTATATGGTAACAGAATTAATGCTTATTAATGACAAAGTCTATGCCATAAAGTTTGTCATATAATTGAATTTATGCTAACTTGATGTATAAAATGCAATTGAATATTTTTGGATGTTAATAATGATAGAACTATAGGTTATATATATATATATAATCAGGGATAAAATAGCTTTACTAATGCAATGTATTTATGGGATAGATAATATAATACTGGGCATATTATAAATTGTTTAAGTCATATTATGTATGTTGATGCAATAATCAAAGGGATTTACTTTGTTCTGGAAATGATCTTAAAAAGGAAAATGAAAATTAGCAGACATAATTTGCCAATAGAGAATTGGAAAATATAATTATATCATGTTTGAAAAAGAACCAGGATCTCTCTGTATCTTTAAGATAATTTTGCATAATCCTCTAAATTTTGACATTAGTTTTTAAACTAAATTATAAGAAATAAGACAAAACACACATAAAATGATTTAACAAGGACAATAATGTTTATATTGATTTACATATTGCAACTTCACGTCATATTTCTATAGAAATAAGAAACCTTATTTGCCAAAATACCAAAGAATTCGGTTGTCCTTTTTTTCATTTAATAAATATTTGTGGATCACCATATCAGATATTAACATATTTCTCAAGAAGTTCTCAGTCTGTTAGGGAAGAAGATTCAGTATGAGAAATAATATTCATTGAGTGCTTACTATACTTCAAGAATGATGCTTGGTTTTTTCATGTTTGATTTTCTGTTTGAAATGTAACTCACATTTTGATGTTGAATTCCTAACACACTGTGGTAAATGATACATTTAGATACTACATTTAGAGATGAGCAGTAAAAGATACTTTGGGATGGAAGGAGACAAATGAGCTTCTACTTTAGGTAATCATGAAACACTCAAAGGAAGAGGTAAATTTATGTTGAGTCTTTCAGTAGTAAAATAATTTTGTCAACTTGAGAGAGAATTTGTGAATTATTCCAGATATAGAGATTCAGTGTTTTGCAAACTTATGTGTGAATGATAAGACATGCTGTTTGAATGCAAAACTGAATTCATATTGTATTAATAGAGAGGGCTAGAGCTTATTAAGGAGATTTGTTAAATACTGGTCTGTTCCAGTTAGAACTGATTTAAAATAAAAACCTAAAATAAGCAGTCCTCCAAAGTAAAATCACATTAGCTGTATTGATGGCTTAAGTTGTTCTTCTAATGCAATTTATTCAAAACCCAGAATAAGGACTGTAAGTTTCAATTGATTTTTGGAAATATCGTACAGGTTTGGAACATTAAAAGAGAAGAGTTTTATGGCACTTTAAAAATTATTTTGTATTATTATTCACAAACCACAATTGAAAAATAGTATTTCGTAAAGTTTTCCTAAAAATAAGTGACAGTTGTGGCTTAGGAAAAGATATGCCATTACTGAATGTTACTCCTGGACTTGTCATCTTTGTTTTGCTTTGTTTATTTTTTTAATATGGAGCATTAAATATAACTTGAGGATTATGCTTGCTAACTCAAGGACTATAAAGCATTTGTAAGCCACTAGGATTGTGAAGGGGCAGGGACTGATGAGGGATATAACTATCTTAAACCTTGCCTGACAATCTCCCAAATAATGGGATTTACCCCAACTATAACAACCTGATTGATAAACCTGGTGTTAGGCTTTAGAATGACACTCAACACAATGTCTTTAATCAATTTGCAGCATAGTTGGTTTCTTATACATAAGCTAAGACTTTATTTTTTTTATTTTTTATTTGTTTTCTGAGACTTGGTAAAAATGTGTGAAAACCCCTACCCCAAATTTTCTGTTTTTAAAACATCTTTGTATACATTTTTTAATGATACATATGGTTAAAAACTGAAGCTACATGGGTATCATACCATGAAGTTACTGAACATCAGCATAAATTGATAACCTACTAGTCTGTTGAAACTAATGTTGGCTCCAATTTCATCACTATGAAAAAGACTTTGCTTCTGGGAATGCTTTTTTGCACTTGATCCTTACAGTAATTCCTTAACAGAATTTTCAACTCCTAGGTAAGGTCAGTTGGTAATCTAACCATCTGTAATGCCAACTACTTTGTGGAACAAAAAAATACTTCCCAGTCAGTTGAATATGGCAATAGATAGTGATTTAATAAAACAAATATTCAGAAGGCCATCCTTTTGAATGCTGAACAAAGTACCAGCTCATGCCTTGGGAAGAGAAGGAAGGTAGAGATGGAGGGTGTGTGGGTATGGGGGGGGGGAGTTCCTGATGTGTGTGTGCATGTGTGCATGATAAATCAATGAAACAGTTTTCATTCTACATCAGTAATATGTACTCTTATGAAATTATTACATGTTACTGTGTGTGTGTGTTTGCATTACACCATTTTCTCCTACAAACCAATAATACTTCCATGTATTTTTCTTTGCTTTCTATGTTCAGATTTTCCTTGGATCGCCACACTGACCTTGACAGGATTTTTAACATACATTCTGGAAATGGATCCCTTTATACATCAAAGCCACTTGACCGTGAACTATCTCAATGGCACAATCTTACTGTTATAGCTGCTGAAATCAGTAAGATGAATTTTATGTATATAATATTTAACATATATTAGGTTTTATTTCATATTAAAAATAATTTCTTCTCATTATACGCATGAATTGTAATTTTAATCTGCTTTTAAAAGTCTTCAAACTAATACTACAATATATATTAACTAACTTGAATTTAAATAAAATGTTGAAAAAAAAGAATAAAGCATTGATTTCAAGCAAAAAAAAAAGGCTTCTCAACACCTATAATTCTTTTCAATAGTTTCTATATATACTGAGGGATAGTTATAGGTATCCCAAATCAACATTTAATATTGACTAATAAAAATTATTTAGAATTGGGCACTAAAGATATCCTCTTTTGGGAAAAATAAATGCATTCGATTTATTACATGGGCACTATAAATTAAAATCTATGCTAAATGGTGGGTGCGTACCATTTAACAACAAACATGTATGTAGGTATTATTTCTTCCTTTTTACAGATGAGGAAAACAAGGTATTGTAATAATAGCTAATATTAAGCACACTATGCCAGGTATTATCCTAAGAATTTTATATTAATTTTCTCCTATTAATATTTTTATTGACCTTATTTAACAGAGAAGGAACTAAGGCTCCAGAGGTTTTGGTAACTTGCCCAAAGTCATGATGCCAGAAGTAGTAAAACTGAAATTTAAAACTAGTCATTCTGTTTCTAGATCCAATACTTAATTCTACACCTAATTTACAAAATTTCATATAAGTAATAACAGGCAAAGCCAGTATTCAAAATCATATCTGTCTCTAATTGCAAAGGTTCTTGCCCATTCACAGGACTTGCGACGTAATTTGTGGAGCCCGTTATAAAATAAAACGTCAGACCTCTTGTTAAAAAATGATTAAGACATTTAACATGGGAACGGTAGAGCCTTAAAATAAGCATGGGGCCCTTCTTGGAGTGAGGCCCGGTACAATTGCACATGGCTATGAAGCCCCTTTGTCCACTCATGCAAACGTGTTCATAGTCTGCAATTCCTGTACTGTGATTTACTGGAGTAAAGCAACTCTATTTTAAAAAGAAGCATTAATTAGGGACTGAATCATGGTGAAAAACTAAGCCTATGAATTCCAGACCTGAAATACGAAGCTGAATCCACAAACACATATCAAGGTCAAGTTATCTGAAGCCACCATTCCAGGATTTGGAAGGCAGAGCAATGGGGCCAAATTGCTAAAAGTCTCAGAAGGATGGAATGAGGCTGGACAGATCTTTAACAATGAATTCAAAGCTTCAGGATAAAATAGTAGACTTAGCTTTCTCCTTAAATCTGGCTCTGAAATACAGATTAACTCCACCATCCAAATGACCCAGTTTTTCCATAGTAAGTTATAAATGGCTGTGCCTTTTAAGGCCAACTGAAGATTTTTTTGAGTTTTTCTTTTAAGGAAAGCTTTTATTTCTATTATCTATCTCCACATCACCACAGTTAGATGTGCTTGACACGGTCCAATCTGATCATTCCAGAATCATGGTTGTTTGTGCTCTCTGCTTGATTCAAGATTCTAATTCAAGCCTGACGAGTTAGGAATTGCCTTTTCCATTTCAGATACTTTGAGAAATTTAAGTTCTAAAGCTAGCTGAAGTAATTACAATTCTGTAAAAAGCTAAGCCAATTATGTTCTTCTTTTTAAGAACTAAACCTATTTTTTGCCCTTAAGTGATATCAATTTATGGAGTAAACTGCTGGAAATTCCTACCTGCCAAGCCACAAGCAGTCAGAGGCCCATTATGCTGGTCTGGGTATTAAAGGGATAAGGGAGAGAGGGAAACAGCATATAGGAAATTGTTTTTACTAGATTTTAAGCACTGGGTTTGTGGTAAGTGTGCATTACACCAAGCCCTAAGCAGGGCAGAATGACGTTTAAATGCATTTCTTACCAATGCGTTTTCAAGCCCTACCTCTAACAGTTTAATTCCACATTCCACAGCAGTATATCACATCATATGGCAAGTACTACCTCAGGTAATTATTTAGTGCATTATACCATGAAATAACTTCTCCTTTTCTTCTTCAAAAATATTTTTTAAATGCCATTTGGAGAATAAAGAATCTAAAATGAAGGTCATAATTGGATCTTAGAAATCCGTTGTAGAAACTAATGAGTTCCTCTCACCCCATCTGAAAACTTTACTGTAATCATTGCAATACAGTCTGAGAACAGTAGAATAAAGCTTATGACCAAAGAACTCCATTATCTATACCTAGCCCTTGAGAGTGGAAATTTTTGCCCTAAGCAGGTAGAAAAGATACATCTTTCTAAAGGTTGGGATTTCTAGAAAACCATTTAAGCTTTCCTTTCCTTGGATATGGAAAAGACTGCAGATACATCGGAATGCTTTCACATTATAAGATCCTTTATTGCTGATACATTCTTGCTATAGTAGAGTGTGCCTGGATGACTCTGAGAATCAGGTGGTAAATATGCCGACTGCCATTCCATATGATGCTTCTTGGAATGCTTTGTTTTTACTTGTACATGAGCTGCAACATCTACCAGTAAAAAGATGAGTGTAAGCACTGTTGTTTGAGTAGGTGACTCTAGGCCTGATGTTATACAAACTCATTTATCCTTGTGAATTTAGCTTTTGATTTGAAGAGACTTTTTGAGCCATCTGTAAAGAAGCTGGAGAGTCTTCATTTTGTGTCAGGAACGGACTGACAGTGCAGTATTTTAGATCTGATATCGTTCTTATATTGTTCTGCCTCTCTTGACTTCCAACAAGAGTTATATTTGTCAAGACTATTGAAAGAAAATATTTTGCTATGTCCACTAACTATATTAGATGAAAAGCTCTTGCTAGAAAATATGGAAGAATCATACCTTCCCATTCATACCCATAGCAATGCGTAGCTCTAGGTAGGTTGTGGATTCATTTGTAGGTGAACCCTTTGTAGGTGAACTCTGGCTATTTGCAAATGGTTTAGGACAAGGGGAGGTAGGAAAAGAGTAGGATAGGATTTTTTTTTCTTTTTTTTCTCCTTTCTCCACTGCTCCCCAAATGTAGTCTGCTTCAGGCCTGTATGAACTGTAGGGAAACTAGTTAATACATGTATTTTTTATTGCGTGAGAGCTTTGTGTGGAGTAACATAGAATAAGCTGTCAAGTAATGTAAGAAAATGAAAAAGGTACCACGGTGATAATAAGGATGATCTTAATAGCTGACATGTATTGAGTGCTTACCAACCAACTAATACTTTGATAATAGCTTTTGGTAGTTTTCATGCATTAACTGACCTAATTTTTCAAATAACTCCATAGATTAGAAGTTCTATTTTGATTTCTATTGCGTAAATTGAGGCATTAGAGAGTTGGAGTAAATTGGCCGAAGGCACACAATGAGTGAATGGTGACTCTGGGAATCCAAGCAGCTCTGTTCTGCTCCAGGGTCTGGACTCTACAACCACCTGACATAGAAGGAAGTGAACAACAGGCAGCAATACATTAGCAAATGTGAAATCAGAACCTGAGAATGGAATGCACATGGGTGAAAAAGACTAAGACTGGAAAGGAGTGTTAAAGAGAAGATGCCTTTCAAAGTTTCTCTTGAAAAAAAAAAAAGGCAGATAAATACACTTCACATGGATTTAGAATTCTATCTGCCTTCCTTCATACGACTCAACCTTGTAAAGGTCCCTGCTGAGTAATCAGTTCTCCCATATTATTTTTAAAAGTGCTGACTTCATTATTTTAGTAACATTATAATTACATGGAGAGAAAGGAGAAATAAATTATTTTGCATAGTAATATCCTCCCTATCTGTACATAATATTTTTTATCCTTGTATTTGAAAATTATATAGATAAAATTAGAAAGTCAGATACATTTCACAAAGGTAAATAGTATGATCCATAACCCATGTTAGTAGAGGCCACTTAATAAGATTACTAATGTCCCTCACTTAATCTGTTATTTGTTTTTGTTTTATTTTGCTTTGTTTTTAGCTAATTACCTCCTTTCTCCTTTTCTATTGATCTTCAGTTTGACTTTGCTGAAGTCCACACAGAAGTTGAACTACCAAAGACTAAGATTTTGATATCACAAAGGCTGATAAATATAAATTGAATTTAAGATGTCCAAACACTCTCAGATACCAATACTAGTGCCTAGAAAAGCCCATTTGTGAGATAATGCAATTTTGACTAATACAAGGGTGTTACCCAAGGCTAAGCTAAATAGACATTCATATTTTTAAAATTCCATTTACAAATCAAGACAATTTTTAATGCATATTTTTATGTGAAAAATTTGATGCTCTTGATTTTAGTATTTGTAGCAAAAAAATCATAATTATTATACTCTATGTTACTATTGAGCTAATTTTGTTATACAAAATTGAGCCTGGATTGTTGAAATGGTACCAGTAACAATTAACGAATCATTCAAGTGCTTATATTTTCCTGTAAATTTCCACCCAACTTGTAAAATTAGTAGCTATATATTAAAATTTCCAAAAGGGGAGTTCGGAGTAGCTATTGGAATACATTTTCGCTATTAAAGTAGTCAGGAGGATAAGTTGTAATATAACAACTACCACTTAGGAGTTAATGACCATGGGCAAGTTAATAGTTTATTTAAAATTATTTCTTCGTCCAAAAACTCAGTAAAGCTTAATGTAATACTGCATGGCAAAGATTTAATAAATATTTGTTCTTATTTTACGTATTTGGACCAAGGACACAAATACAATATGAACTCAATTACACTGGATTGTGCTTTTAAAAAGATTTTCCAAAATAATAGTAGTTCTCTGGAGGCCAATAATAACCGAATTTATGACTACTTAATTAGACTCTGTAGTAATTTTCTTTATTGTATTTGCTCATTATGTTGGCAGAATGAACGCGATGCTTATTTTTATGTGAGCACTTAATATCCACAAGATGCTTATATAAATGAAATCTGGTGCACAAATGTGTCTTCCTAAACAAATTTTTCCTTTGCCTTTTCTAGACAATCCCAAAGAGATGACTCGCGTGGCTGTTTTTGTGAGGATTTTGGATGTTAACGACAATGCCCCACAATTTGCTGTGTTCTATGATACTTTTGTATGTGAAAACGCGAGACCAGGGCAGGTGAGCACCCATAGGACTTAAAAGCTTTGGAAGATTTTAACAGCTTGTTAAATGTTTTCTTTTCCCAATCTTAAGAAGAATAAGTAAACAGAGATAAAAACGGTCATGTAAGTCCCAGTAATATAATTAAAAAAAAAAAGGCTGATATTTTTAGGATTCTAAATGACACTATAGCATGTTTCACATTTCTTTTGTGACGTTCTAATGAAAATATAAGATTTTATTGTTGCCACAAAAATTAAGGTGTAAGAAGAAATAACTTTCACTTTTTAACTTTTCACAAACAAAACCAGGAAAAAAAAACAAACAACCTCTGCTGTTTCTCTAGGTAAATATTGATACCTGCTAGAAGAGATGGGAGGTGGAAGTTAGGAGAAACACAGCGACAGATTCATGGATCAGTGAAAGAGTGCATCAATATTCCAATGTATGCAAATGATTTCAAAGCAGGGCCGCAGGATTCACTCCTTAAATTTATACTTCTCTTTCATCATTATAGCAACTCTTAAGAGTGCTTAATGACTTAGTTTTTGTCCTTTAAAACATTCTTCCTACATCAGCTTTGTTTATAACTCTTTAAGTCTTTTCCTCAGTGGACTCATTTTGTTGTTTGAAAAGCTCCAGTGTATATGGCTGAAAGAAATGCTCCTAATTGGTTTGAGTGCTATCTTCACAGAAGGAAGCTGCATGTTATAAATAATAATTGGGAATCAGATGTGTTTTATTAAAGAAAGAGTAGCCATCACAAAACTGCATTGTGTTTTGACATCATTTGATGCTCTTTATAAACATCAATGTCATCGTTACATTTTTATGCAAATTACGTTGTGGGATAACACAAATTCTTCCTTCTGAAGATTCTAACAGGAATTCAATAGCCTGTCTATTGTTTGAAATGGCAAAATTGCTGCCATTGGATTCATTTTTTTTTATTTGAAAATGTTATGGAAATGTTTAATTTGGAATATTTAAATGACAAAGCTACTTCCGACCTACTTCGTAATGAAACAGTGTTTGCCCTGAAAATACCATTCCAAATAGTCCTCTGCTTGGCAGGCTCAGCATGGTATAAGTTGAAGCCTTTTCTCTAAGAGATAAATTACCCACTTTACAACAGCCGCATGCATAGCTTCCTCTATGGTTATTCTATTTGATTTTTAAGAGATATCTTTTCAGAGCATTTGAGTCATTTTAAATACTGATTTCCAAATGTATTCACAATATACCAAATAAGGGATTGTGTTTTTTTTTCTTATGCCTCTTTAAAAAAAAAAATTAAACTAAATCTGGTTCAGTAACTTTATATTTTTTGGATTTTAAAAACCAGTTGGCATATTGCAGGAAAATAATAAAAGCAAAGACAATTTTAATTTAAAAAGTAGCCTTTTAACAAACTTGATAGGAATAAAATGATTAGTAATTTTTGTCTAATTGGCTGAATGTACAATAGCCTCCCATAGTAGCTATTTTTAATAAGATCAGTTTGTTAAATGTCATTTTGGTCTCTTGGCTGATAAATGGTCACTTAAACTAAACTGTTATGTACTCAGTGATGGAATTCTAGATTACAACAGCCCAGCAGGCAAAACCAAGGTGGTTATTTGGAAAAGTCCTTCACTGAACCTTCTTTGAGATTTATTTGTTAACTCTGTCTCCCCTCCTTCTAGGGAAGTAGGAGCTTGTTAGGACTTCCGGGTGTAATTTAGTTATTTATAGAGTATTTCAACCCACTCAAATCTCCTCTGAATTAAGTACTGTTTTAAAATAGCACTGAACATAATAAAATAAATAAATAAATAAATAAAAAGCACTTCGAACAAGGACATAGGAAATGATTCCATCTATTTGTGTGGACAGATAAAGTTAACTGCCATACCCTCTTCCTTTTCTGCCTCTTCCCTTCTCTAAAGGTAGAAGACTTTCCTCCTTGGAAAAGATGCAGCTTAAAATTGATGTAAATTAACAGTCACCTCTTGTGCCTGAACTAGGCTACCTGACTCCCCATCTTTTCCACCTCAGAAAGTCCCTTGGGAAAGGAGAGGAGAGAAGACTGGCTGTTTCAGTTTTCTTTCATTTTCCCTCATGCATGCCTCACTCCTTCAGTCAATAAAGCATATTTTAATAATTCTTCATCTTTATGGGAAGGAAATAGTATTTCAGTCTCACAGATTTCCCAGAGAGTTCCCCAGGGAGGATTGCTGCTTGTATTTACCCGCAGGTAGTATCTAAGCTCTAGGCCTTTGTCAGACCCCAAATATCCCCTTACATATTTCCATGGAACAATGTTGAGTTACTTACCTAACTGCTACTCTTCCCACTGCAAAACCTAAAACATTAAAACTTAGTGACCAGTTTTCTTACTTAAATATCTTAAAATCCATTTGTCATCCCACACTCCATTATGGTATGATCACTGAAAAAGCCCTCAAGTTGATTGGAGATTATTTTAGAACAGCCTAGTGAAAATATGAACCAATTTTATAACAGCTAAGAGGATAAAATATAAATGACTTATCTGGGTCTATTCTTCATATGCTCAAAATGAATACCGGACATCACCAGTGTTTGTTTGTTTTTTCTCCATAATTGTGGCAACTTATTTTATTGGAAATGAGTCAAAATGAACTTGTGTCCAGTAGGAATAAAATAACGAGTATTTATATAGAGAGACCAGGGAGGTGGTTTTATCTCCTTCATGTTACCAACTTCTGATTTCTATTTTAACACATACTTACCTGTATGTGGTATATGTACATACCCATATGTATGCGGTATATAGACCAAAACAAATAAACAAACATATACCAAAACAAAGTACACTTGATCCTTGAACAACGCATGGTTTATTTCTTTTATAACACTTAAAGAAAATATATCAGTGAATCACTAATTTTGAAATCAACAATGCTATCATCTTTTATTCAAATAACATTTTATAAGAATTTTTGTGTAAAGCATTATAACTTCTTGTAGATATATGCAAAGATGTGGCCATTTTGTTCTTGGAAATGTATTATTTTGGTTTATAAAAATAAAGTGAAATTGTAATTTGTAATCACAGTTGAAAATGCATATTTATTTTGAGACATTATATTTCTTAAAAGACCATTAGCTCTACTTTTAAATTTCTTTCATTTTTATCTCTCTCTCTATATATACTAACATATTAATCTTAATGATATATATAGAGAGAAACATAGAAGTTTTATTAAGTCTTCTACTTTTCTTGCTGTTTCATTTGTCATTTTTCCCTTCAACTTATTCTTATAAATCACGTTTTATTTATTTATTTTTTTAAAGATTTTATTTATTTATTTGAGAGAGAGAGAGAATGAGAGAGAGAACACGAGAGGTCAGAGGGAGAAGCAGACTCCCCGCTGAGCAGGGAGCCCGATGCGGGGCTCGATCCAGGGACTCTAGGATCATGACCCGAGCCGGAGGCAGTCGCTTAACCAGCTGAGCCACCCAGGCGCCCCAATCACGTTTTAAAAATAAAATCTTTTAGGGCACCTGGGTGGCTCAGCTGGTTAAGCGACTGCCTCCGGCTCGGGTCATGATCCTAGAGTCCCTGGATCGAGCCCCGCATCGGGGTCCCTGCTCGGCAGAGAGTCTGCTTCTCCCTCTGACCCTCCCCCCCCTCATGTGCTCTCTCTCTCTCTCATTCTCTCTATCTCAAATAAATAAATAAAATCTTAAAAAAAATAAAAAAATAAAATCTTTTAGACTGCTCGACAAACAAGTCAGTCAAGAATGATTTTGTAACTGAATTGACACCTCTTAAAGGGCATCAGTGAACACTTTTTATACATTTTTCTCTTTAATTCCTTCACATATGCACCATTTTTGGTTTTGTATTGGATGGGTAAGCCATTAGCAATAAATCCTTGCTTTCTATTTAATCTTAAATCACCTCTAAAATTTCATTATAGTTATGTTACATTTTAAAATATATTTTAAGATTATTCAAAGTTTAAATGATTTTTGGGGGCTGCTTATTCCTAGAGGATAAACATTTATCTTTGTTCGATACAATTATATTTCTTGTATTATTTTGAAATAAGTGGTTAGAGTTGTAATTAAATAGGGAGTAGCTAAAATTTATCACATTTTTATTTTTATAAGATAATTTAAAAGAAAACTAATTGAATACAGAAGAGTTAAAATAACTCCTTAATTTTTTTATAATTATGTGATATTTTAAACTTGAAATCTCTTTTTATATCAACAAAACAACAGTAACAAATATTTTCATCAAATATCGACACCCTGTTAAATAAGTCAAAGCAGTAAAACATATTCCTTTTAGTTAAGCATAAATTTGGCCATTTATATAGGTATACAAATTGAACAACTTCTGAAGCTCTCTTGCAATATTAAGATATGTAAAAAATTATATAAAATGTTGTTATACATATAAGTTAAGGACAAATTGGATATATATGCAAAAAAGAACATAGCCATATGTTACATATATATTTGTATAATATTAATCATGTATGTTCAAAGAAGTGATCTGATTATAGTAAAAGGTGTTACATTTTATGCTTTGTTCCCAGATAGCTTCTTATATTTTCTCTTACCCTAAAATAAATCAGAGATGATCTTTATAAAATAACCATTTCCCATGGTATACATATACTGAATTAAAAAATGTAATTTTATTGACAATGCAAGTGAACCATTACTATTAAAGTAGATCAAAATCTTTAAGTCTTTCCTTTAAAAAGTTTTACATAGTATTATCTATAAAATCTGTACATTCTTCGAATAGTTTTCACTTTTGATAAAGAGAAAAGCCATAATCACAATAGTTTTCTAAATTTTTCCTCCATTAGATAAACTTTTCAGATCAATGTTTAAATATATATGAAATAACCTACTCATGTCAAATGCTATATCTAAATTAATAAGACTGCAAAGAATATGATATTGTCATTTGTTATTTTGAAGCCATGGATAATATGTAGGAGAAATTGAGAAGGAGGGGCAGAAAGAAACAGAGACAGAGAGAAGCAGAGAGGGAGGGAGGGAAAGAGAGAGAGACTTTGTTAAAGTCAAAGTAATAATAAAAAAGATGGAATAAAATAAAGATACATGCACAAGAAAGAAAATCAACTGCCTTTAAATTTAGACAAAATTGAATGTTAAAAAATTACATATTGTAAAGCAGATTATACCCACAGAAGTTTGATAAATATGCATATTTCTCTTTTTTTGCAGCTAATACAGACTATAAGCGCAGTAGACAAAGATGACCCCTTAGGTGGACAGAAATTTTTCTTCAGTTTAGCTGCTGTCAATCCAAACTTCACAGTACAGGATAATGAAGGTAAATTTTAGAATGCTGTCATTATGATTTCAGGTGACATTAATAAGAGCTTTTCTCCAAAGGAACAATTGCTATATGTATTAATTTATTGATCTGTGTTACAAAATGTTGTTTTCATCAGATATTTAATGAGATATTAATTTCTTGCTTCTTTATATATTAATAAGATATACACTGTTCATTCTCTTAAATTGCAAAATAATAAAGATGTGAAAGAAGTTTCAATATGAGTACTAATGAAAAGACTGAATCTTGAAAACATTAGAAAGGCTGGAAATAATCAGACACACTGTGTAGAGAAATGAATGATTCAGTGAGACCCTTGTGCAAATTTCAATGAGATTTAGTAGCAACAGATTCACCAAAGCCAAAAAGGCATGGAATATGGGTAAGAAGAAGTATCCATATTAGTCCATATGGGTAAGAATTAGTATCCAATTTGCAAAAGCAGTTGCCAGGGCAAGATACACTATTCTTCTGGGCAATATGTAAATTTTATAATGTCTCTGTGATAAAAGATACTGAAATTGTATTTCTTGCATTCCCAAAGAGTGCAAAAACATATTTTAGAGGAAAAAATATGAAAATGCTTACTATTTTTAAAAAGCTGAACAACTTTATTCTTTGAAAAATATATATGGTAATTATTCTCATCTAAACAAAAGTGTATAGTTAGAGCTGTTTCTCCTTAATAAATTTATGTTAACCTAATTATATCAGCTGATCTTTTGTAAAAAAGGCATACTTGTCTTAGAGTGAGTGTAGATATAGTTATTCTTAAAATAAATTTAATAACTACATTGACATATTTATAATACCTTCATAACAATGTATATCCACTGGCAGAGCTAGATTGCTATATATCACCTCTAGGTGGCTTTCAGAATATCAGAAAGAAGTTTAAGATAACAGATAGTTTTACATTAACCCAATTATTGTTTGAGGTATTTGATATGGCAGAAAACTGCACAAATCAGTTGAAAAGAGGGCATCCACTGGTAACATCTGTATACTAAATCATAGTTTCTGAAATGTCTCTTTTCCATCCCTCTGAACATCTAAATAACTGCAATGCGAAAAATTCTCATAGAGTTGGCAGATAAGATACAAGATGTCTAGTTTCTTCTGATTATCAGCAAAACAAAACCCATCATTTTATTTGCTGAATCTGGCATCGTAAATATAGAACTTAGATGAGACATCCCTAGCACTGATTTGACAATATTATACCTCTTTCTAAGTGCATTTTAATTTGTTTTATGTTTTTGTTAAACTGGACCCCAACAAACCACCTCTCAATTTTAAAAAGCAGTAGAGACTTGAAATAGTGTTATCTTATCACAGAATTTCACAGTTACTAGGTAAGCACCTCAAGGCTAATCTTAATTAATTTTTGATAAGTAGTGCCATCTTCCTATATTCAGAAGAGTTCCTGATCAGAATGCAAGTTCCTGATCTTATATGAGTTACTCAAAGCAAGAGTTGAAGCCCTATGAATATAAATTTGAACATGTCACTATATAGAATACCACTAAATCAGACGGAATAAACTCACTATTCCAAAACTCACTATTCCAGAGTGCATAAACTCACTATTTTGTTATTGAGTGCATTTTGAAAAGAAAATCCAATGACATAGACATCACCTTATTGCTCTTCCTGAGAAAATGCGCTTGTGTTTATCTACATGTTCATCTTAGAAAACTTTAATTTTATGGTATCATTTTTTAAAATTAATTTCCTGCTTCTGTGATACCACACTTGGAGCTTTTGATTCTTAAAATTCCCATGCTTTTCACTAACTTATAGGTCAAAAGCCTAACTGTATGATGACTTTCTGAATATTTAATAAAGTGATTTGAATAGATGGGTTAGTTTAGGGTATAGCTTCATTTTATTCGTCAATATATTAAAAGTATTGTAGACAAAATTAAGATTTAGAACCTTTTGAAAAGTTAAAAAAGAATAAGGCAAGCAGTTTCTAAATATACCTGTATACCAACATCTGTTGTTTCTTGTGTTGTGGATTTTAGTCATTCTGACAGGTGTGAGGTGATATCTCATTATAGTTTTGATTTGTATTTTCCTGATGATCAGTGATATTGAGCACCTTTTCATGTATCTGTTGGCCATCTGTATGTTTCCTTTGGAAAAATGCCTATTCATATCTTCTGCCAACTTTTTAATTGGATTATTTGTTCTTTGTTTTTGTTTTGGAGGGTTATTTGTTTCTTGGGTGTTGAGTTTTATAAATTCTTTATATATTTTAGATATAAAATGTGTGTTTTTCGTATATGGCCTTTATGATGTTGAGGTATGTTCCCTCTAAACCTACTTTGTTGAGGGTTTTTATCATGAATGAGTGTTGACTGAGGATGTGGAGAAAGGAGAATCCTCTTGCACTATTGGTGGGAATGCAAGTTGGTGTAGCCACTCTGGAAAACAGTATGGAGGTTCCTGAAAAAGTTAAAAATAGAAGTATCCTACGATATAGCAATTGCACTACTAGGAATTTACCCAAAGAATACAAAAATACTAATTCAAACGGATGCACCCTAATGTTTATAGCAGCACTATCTACCATAGCCAAATTATGGAAACAGCCCTAGTATCCATCAACTGATGAATGGATAAAGAAGAGGTGGTATATATATATATATATATAATGGAATATTACTCAGCCACAAAAAAGAATGAAATCTTGGCCATTTGCAATGACATGGGTGGAGCTCCAGAGTATTATGCTAAATAAGCCAGTCAGAGAAAGACAAATACCGTATGATTTCACTCATGTGTGGAATTCAAGAAACAAAGCAAAAGAGTAAGGGGAAAAAGAGAGAAAGAGAGGCAAACCAAGAAATAACCAAGAAATAAACTCTTAACTATAGAGAACAAACTGATGGTTATCAGAGGGGAGGTGGGTGAACAGGTAAAATAGATGATGGGGATTAAGGAGTGCACGTATGATGGGCATCAGATGTTGTATGGAAGTGGATGAATTACTAAATTCTATGCCTGAAGTTAATATTACACTGTATGTTAACTGACTAAAATATAAATAAAAACTTAAGAAAAAGAAAATAGGAAAAAATATATACCCATATGCATACAAATATTTATTTTAGTGTAAGTTAGAGACTGGAAGAATTATATCCTAATACTTTTTGGAAGATAAGTCAAATTTGAAAAATTATCAGGATTAAATTTATTTTTTAAATTTGCTTATGTATATCTTCTATTTTGCTAATCTTCTTTCCTAGCTTTTATAGTTAACTGATGTAGTAGAAATAACTTCTTACTAATAATTTAGGAAATTACTGCTTTATGTTCAACCACTATACCTGCAAGAAATTTTCACCTTTCTTGTCGTATTTGATTTAGCAATTGGCTGACTCACTCCCTTCCCTACATTAGCATTTTGAACAGGCTTATGGGATTGGCTAAAGAAGACTAAGTGCATTGGACAAACAGAATAGGAAATTATCATCCAAGTACATATTGATTTTTTTAAAAATATTGATTATAGGGGCACCTGGATGGCTCAGTCAGTTAAGCAACTGAGCCCCAGAGTCCTGGGATCGAGCCCTGCATCAGGCTCCCTGCTCAGCAGGAAGCCTACTTCTCCCTCTTCTGCTCACCCTGCTTGCTCGCTCTCTTGCTCTCTTTTTCTGTCAAATAAATAAAAGAAAAAATCTAAATATTGATTATAGAGGGTTTGGTGAAATCTTTTTTATTAAAACCACAACCTCCATTTAAGGATACAGGGTGTTATCAGATAAAAAAATAACTGTAGCAATATACTAGTTAGTAGGATGCTTGGGTTTATTAAATCCTTACATCTGTCTATGCATTTATTAAGTAATCCATATCAGTGGTCATCCACCAATACCTTGAGTTATAGATTATATTCATTTTAATGGGTAGAAATCAAAGTTCAGAAATATTAAATAACTTGCTGGGGCACCAGGGTGGCTCAGTTGGTTGAGCATCCTACGCTTGACTTAGGCTCAGGTCATGATCTGAGAGTTGTGGGATTGAGCCCTGCATCAGACTCTGTGCTCAGTGTGGAGTAGCTTGGGATTTTTTCTCTTTCCTCTCCCTTTGCCCCTCCCCCTGCTCACACTCTCTCTCTTTCAATCTGAAATAAATAAATAAATAAATAAATAAATAAATAAATAAATAAATCTTTAAAAGAAAGAGAAAAGGGAAGGAAAAAAGTAAGAAAACAGGAAGAAGGAAAGAAAGAAAGAAGAAAGAAAGAAAGAAAGAAAGAAGAAAGAAAGAAAGAAAACAAAGAAATAATGAACGAACTTGTTCACCCCTGTCATATATTGTGACTCTTGAATGGTTTTGAGTGCATGATTGATTTTAAAAAACGCAACTACACGTAAAATTTACTCATTCATTTTTCTTCATGAGTATTGGATTAATGTGTGTTTTCTCTCTGTATGTGTGTGCATATGTATAAACATATATGCATATACAAATAAAAACAATTAACTTTTTTTTCTTGGTATGCTTATTTATATTTTCTGAAAACTCTGAAAAACAATATGCCATTATCCTCACAGTCCCAGTAAAATGTTCACTTATAAAAATTCACCATCGTAAAAGCATTATCTGCGAAAAAGTTAGAAACCTGTCAAATAAGCAATCATAGTCGGAGACTCCTCAAATTAATTTATCTTACCTGTATTTTCAAATGTTGCATTGTAGGCATGTTACAGGAAAATTGATCTTCATTTAATATTTTACATAAACATCTCTTTACTTGTATTGTCAAGCCTTGGTGAGCAGCATGAGAGAAACTTACGGTCCCAAGCCATCTGTAATATGTTAAAATTTATTTTAGATAATACTGCCAGAATTTTAACCAGAAAAAATGGATTCAATAGACACGAAATAAGTACCTATCTCTTGCCTGTGGTGATATCAGACAATGATTACCCGATTCAGAGCAGCACGGGTACTTTGAGCATCCGAGTGTGCACCTGTGACAGCCAAGGCAACATGCAATCCTGCAGCGCCGAAGCCTTGCTCCTCCCCGCGGGCCTCAGCACGGGAGCGCTCATCGCCATCCTCCTCTGCATCATTATTCTACTGGGTAAGAAACCTCAAAGAGAACATGATTAGAAGGACGCCTGGGTGGCTCGGTCAGTTAAGTGTCCATCTTTGGCTCAGATCATGATGCCGTCGTCCTGGGATGGAGTCCCGCGTCTGGCTCCTTGCTCAGCAGGGAGGCTGCTTCTCCCTCTGCTGACAAATAAATAAAACCTTAAAAAAAAAAAAAAAAAAGGAAAGAAAATGTGATTATTTCCTGGACTGTTTACATTAGTGTATTTATCAATAAGAAATTCTCTTATTAAAATAACCCCTCCCCCATTAACTCCAACATCTAAGATAGACCTAAGTTAATGATGGGATGTTGTTTATGTTAAAATATTTTATCTGATCAGATAGTTATTACCTTTCTTTCTTAAATTATAAGACCGAAAGTTAGAGATATTCAAAACATTTTGCAAGGTTACACAATTTCTGAGTGGCTTAACCAAGGCAAGGTACTTTGCTGTCCGTTACAGCTAGTTTTTTAGGAAATCTAAAGTTTATTTCCAGTTTTTTTTTTTTTTTTCCTTTTGAGGGCTGGTTGGATCCTTTCCATTGAAATCATGTTAAAATAGCCCTTTACCTGGTTCACTTTCCCCTGTAACAATAATACTTGATTTTATAACCTAGAGCAAATTGCTTTTTAACTGCTTTTGAATGAAAAATCAGATTAAGTTTACTCTCCAGTTGCCTTATCTTAAAACTATTGTGCATATTCCTATGACCCTAATCAAAAGCATTGTATCTGACATTTTAAGAAGCAGTAAAATGAACTTGGATTTTGGAGCCAATCTTAGTTTCATTAGCCTCATTATTAGAACATTTTTTACCGGGTAAGATCATTTGGCTGACAATAAACAATCTAAGGTTTAAAATCTTTACATCATAAGTTTATGTGTGTGCATGAAAATATGAATTTAAGCAAAGTAAAATGTCATATTTTTCTCAAAGACTTGAAGAACAAACAATTTTTTTTCTCTCTTAGTGGTGGCCTATTTATTTTTTAACCACTTTGAAGGTCAAGAATACTTATCAATGGATTAAAACCTTATTTTTTCTAGGCATTAAAAAAGTCCCGTCAGAGAAGCTTGAAGGCAGGTAGACTGACTGTCCTATGTTAATAAAAGAGAAAACAAAATTTAAGAGCCCTTCCCATACTAATGTAATTCTCTTAGTTCAGTCTGCTATAACCATACCATAGACTGCATGGTTTCAACCCCAGAAATGTATTTCTCATAGTTTTGGAGGCTGGAAAGTCCAAAATCAAGGCACTGGCAGATTCCAAATTTGGTGAGGGCATACTTCCTAGTTTCAAGATGGCTGTCTATGCTGTATCCCCACATGGCAGACAGCAATAATCTCTCTTGTTTCTTTTCATAAAAGCACTAATTCAATTCATGAGGGTTCTACCCTTTGACTTAACTACCCCCTAAAGACACCACTTCCAAATACCATCACTTTGGGGATTTAGGCTTTAACATGAATTTTGAGAGGACAGATTCAGTTCATAATGATAATAAATCCCATATTCTTTAAATGTTTCTTCTAAAGAAGCTATTAATAAACATACATATTTCATCATACATATACCCGGTAAAATATTTTCCCTCTCTTTTCTTATTTAATTGAATTCAGATCTGCTTCCCCAGATCATCATTTTCAAGGCTAATGTCCCAAGTATTTGGGGATAGTGAATGAGGGTGGAAAACTAATGACAGCCAGAGAGAATTTAACATTCTCCTATCTTTTATGCTATTATCATCATGATTAGTAAAATCATTATATTATTATTATTGATACTTTCTCAGGTATCAGTAGTAGGGAAATGTCCTTTTTGAATGATATACATTTCCATTTGTAAATCTCCGGTTGTTTGAGATATATCTAGCTAAGGTTCCTACATGCTTTCTGTAGGTAATTCAATGTAGAAATTGAAATTTACTCTTTGCTATCATGTGATCTGATAACTTTCTTTTTGGTCTCATGTGTGATATATATTTCCATGTAATACCTCAAAGATTGATAAACCAATAGTGCCTAATCAGGAGGTCATTTGCCCTTCCCTTCTTTTAACAATGTAAGAAAAAAAAATCTATGTAAATCCATCAGCAAAGCTATTTAACCAAAACCAACACTGTATCTTGTGAAGAATGCTGCCTTTTCAATATTGTATAAGGATGTGCAAAATATGGGCATACTTTTGTCCTCCTTAATTGTTTTATTTGAAGCTGAATTCAATTTGTGTCTATTTTTTATGTAACACCTTATGTCACTATTCAATGCAAAGTATAAATAATGTCTGTACAATCAGGAACTAACTTTAAACAGTTCTTAGAAAAATAGACAAAATATCTCACTGTATTTGAGAAATCTCCCAGATGGCTTTAAAAATACATTAGAAACACTGCTTGCATACCCCACCCATCCTGGCTAAATCCTCAACTGCCTCTCTCCTTCCCACCCCCGCCCTCCCCAACTGATGGAAGTTCAAAATTAATCTAAAAATCCTAGCCTGTCCCCGAAAACCTAAATAACTCAAATTCCTCCACAGTACTTCCGCTCGTTATTTATATAGTGTTTTAGACGGACAGCTAATTAATCTTCTTTTCTTTTTTCTTTTTTTTCAAGTTATAGTAGTACTGTTTGCAGCCCTGAAAAGGCAGCGAAAGAAAGAGCCTCTGATCTTGTCTAAAGAAGACATCAGAGACAACATTGTGAGCTATAACGATGAAGGTGGTGGCGAGGAAGACACTCAGGCGTTTGACATCGGCACCCTGAGGAACCCCGCAGCGATCGAAGAGAAGAAGCTCCGGCGAGATATTATTCCGGAAACTTTATTTATACCTCGGAGGACTCCCACGGCTCCAGATAACACGGATGTCCGGGATTTCATTAATGAAAGGCTCAAAGAGCATGATCTCGACCCCACCGCGCCTCCCTACGACTCACTTGCAACTTACGCCTACGAAGGAAATGATTCCATTGCAGAATCTCTGAGCTCCTTAGAATCAGGTACTACTGATGGAGACCAAAACTACGATTACCTCCGAGAATGGGGCCCTCGGTTTAATAAGCTGGCGGAAATGTACGGTGGCGGGGAAAGTGACAAAGACTCTTAACCTAGGAGATAGATATAGATATATATATCTATAGATATATATCTATATATATATTCTATTCCAACAAGAGGAAGTAACTTGACGGACGCCGTCTCCACCACTTCACAGTATTTGATATTCAGGAGAATTTTCCTGCCACTCAGCACAATTTTTTCCCATTTACTTTTTAATTTGTTCATTAATTACATTAATTCTTTTTCCTGTAGGATGTCTCATGGAATATATACGAAATTTTATTTAATCACTTCCAAGAGCCAAAGCTATGGAAATTCAGTGTTGTCCATCTTAGAAATAAAAGATAATTTCAGAAACATGAACAGGATAGTTCTCCCTTAAGCAACCTCACAAACAAGCCGCTTCTGTTAGATACACGTCCTGCCCTTGCAAATGAAGCTTTTAAAAAGGTGAAGAAAAACTTTAAGGTATATCCTGTTCTGTACATTAAATTAAAAAGAAAAAAACGTACATGTGGTGTTAGTAGGTGTGATTTGCAACCTGGTATACAAACGTTTGTGCAATTTCATTTCATCAAAATCTATCTGCTAATGTTTTATATTTATATTTTTGTATTTATTTTTAAAAAAATAAACAAGTTTTTACAACTACCTTGTCTCCAGCTTCATTTTTTCCCTAGGAAGAAAAGTTTCTCCATGGACTCACGATCTTGGTACAACATGACATTGAATGCAGGTAAGGGCCCAAAGTCATTATGGTTACTATGGAGACCTCTAGCCAAATTAACATGATTTAGGTAAGAATTCTTTTACCAGTGAGTTTTGTTATGCTCTGATTTGTGAAAAAGTTGTCATATTAAAAATAATAGTCATGTATAGACCACTTAAAAATTTATCACAAGCCAGTTTAAAACATGGCCATCTTTATGCTAACTATCTCAAAATATCAACAATATAGTAATTTTGTTTTGTTCTATTCACTTAAATAATAACTGAAAGAATATAACATTTTCTTATTTTTGTATGACATTTGTGCTACTGAGGGTTATAGGTAATAATAGTTCAGACAGATTTCAGACTGAAATAATCCTTTAGTGGAAAATACACTTACCTCCCATGGTGACTTTGAAAATGCATAGTAATGGCAGTAATAATGCTGAATATTCCATTAAGATACAGCATTACGAATATGTCAAGTTTTCAGAAATGTATTACATATTTATTTGCAATTAAGTCTGTTTTTCTGTCAATGAATGATTCAATAGAAAGGGAAAAAAAAAATACTGGCAGTTAATTATCTGGAGTTCCTGAGATTCACAGAGGCCAACTGCCACCAACTGATTTCTTGTTTCTCAAGCTCCAAATATGATTTATTTATAAATGGAGCACTCTGTTGGGCCTACACTAGGAAGTCACATTCCCTGCTGAGTATATCATAAACTATAGCAAAGACTTATGTGCTTTCCAATTAGTGAAAATGCTATGCTTTTGGAGTGAGAGTACAATACTGACATATCCTTAATGCAGAATTATTTATTTCAGTCTTCTTGGATGATATTTTTTCCCCCAACTTCCAGGGTGAAAAGGCACAAACTTCTCTGACTATAGACATTTTAGTTTGCATGGTAATATAATTATAAAAGAAAAACAACCCACGTGGTCTAGTTAAAATTAGTCACATTACAAGACTGACATATCAAATCATAGTAAAACTTAACTTGTTTGACTTCTTATATTCCAAGAACCCATTCATACAACCAGAAGCCTGACTGTTAAAAGGACAGAGCTTAAGGGGAATAAAAACTGAAGTGAAGGGAGAGAAAACCCTCAATGCCCTAGGATTATTCATTCAAATAAAATCAACAAAAAATGGAAAAGTTAGAAGAAGGTATATCTTATGAACATTTCACATTAATTATGATTCAAATATAATATTCATTTGATTGAAATTAGTTTAAAAATTTCCAGCGTTAGCTATTTTTATTAATATTGCATATCAGTAATTGGAATTCTTTTTTGAATATTTTTAATTATCCTCATTCAGATAATTTCAAACTGATATTAACTTGCCCTGTCACTTATTTTATCACCCACTTTTAATAAATTTAAAAATTGTAGCAGTCATCTCTAGTATCATCAAATCAAGTTTCCAAAAATTATCCTGAAGGAGATTGATTAGCAGGTTTCTTTGGCAATAGAGGACCTATGTTGTACAGAAACCATTTTTTCAGAGTTCTGAAACAGTCCTTAATGACAGATATCCTATTATTTTTTGATAATGAAGGTGATATGTTAAATTTCTTGGAGAGCCTGAAATTAAAAAGGGTCCCTACAATGACTCTCAATCCTCAAACTCTCTCAGTAGTCTCCCTTGCATGATGCTTTCCCAAAGAATGCCCAATACGGAGATTACTCTATGTCCAATTTTTTTTTTATATCGGAAATGGGGAAAATGCCTCTCAGTATCGTGTAATTGATTATATCAGACAACTGTGGGTCTTTCATTTTTATTCATCCATTTATTCATTCATCAAATATTTTGAGCACCTTTTATAAAAATCAAACGGTGTTCTAGACCCTAGAGATGTAATAATAAATTGTAGATAAGTTTTATATATGTTAATAACTTCTCTATTAGTGAAAATAAAAAAAATTATGATTATTAAAAGACTCCTAATTTTTAACAAAATACCTAACTTTTACTGTTATTAATTTTTTTAAACACAGAGAAAAAATATTCTATCATCCTTTTTCATGTTTTAAATATTCAAGATAAGTGAATAAAATGATTTATAATCTTTGGTCATTAGACATGGTGATTAAGTCAATTCTCATTGGTTTTATTTATTTATTTATTTATTTTAAAGGTTTTATTTATTTATTTGAGAGAGAGAGAATGAGAGATAGAGAGCACAAGAGGGAAGAGGGTCAGAGGGAGAAGCAGACTCCCCGCTGAGCAGGGAGCCCGATGTGGGACTCGATCCCGGGACTCCAGGATCATGACCTGAGCCGAAGGCAGTCGCTTAACCAACTGAGCCACCCAGGCGCCCTCTCATTGGTTTTATTTTCAAAAAAATATCAAAGAAAGTTTATGGAAAGATAAATTAATGCTCTTAGGCTGAAATTTTTCTCAATATGTCAAGTAGATACTGTCACACAAGTGCAAAAGTTCTAGAGATTTATATTAGTAGACTTAAACATATAAATTATGAATAATTAGATGTTTAAAATAGTCTAAAATAAAAATTTTAAAAGCCCCTAAGATTTAGGATTGAGAATTAGGAATATCTGAGTTCAGTGATCAATACATCTACCGAAGTATCTATACATAATGCCTTCATAATGCCTTCACCAGCTACACCCCCTCTCTACTGGCCATCTGTTGCCTGAAACCCGCCTACCGTAGGCCGCAGTTCCCTTGTTCCAGGACCTTGCGCCTGGGCAGCACCCCTAGGCGGCGCTGCAGGAATACCTCGGCAAGCTCCCTGGTGGCCACAAAGGAATCTCCCTGACTCAGATCTGCCGGGAGTGAAGCTTGCTACCGAGTTTGAAATAAAGTGGACCGTTGGTCTCCTTGTATCATCTTTGCAGATGCTGGGACTCTCCCATTGCTTTGAAAGAGTGCAGTATTGGCTCAGGGAGAGGGGTTTAGCCCTTACACTTGATCCACCAAGTTATACTGCAGGTTGTAAATAGTGTAAGACAATAGCATCTATTTGCAAGGGCTGTCTTTCCCCTTTTACTCCAACGTTACGCCCAAGTTCAAGACTTTGCAATTGTTCATACTGTTTCTTGTAAATCCCACATTCAAGACGTTGAATTCATTTCATTTTTAAAACATGCACAGGATCCCATCACTTCTCATCATTTCCATTACTCTGCCCAACACCCCTTTTCTCAATTACTAGGAGCAATTAACTTCCTACCTGGTCTCTCTGTTGTCACCTTCCCCACTTACACTCTACTGTCAGCATTGAGGTCTCTGAAATATTTTCAAAATAAATTTCCCATTTGGTTGTTCCCTGGTTCTAAACTCTACTCTTCCCTCATTTTACTCAGAGTCAAAGGCAAAATCCTTATTATATCCTTAAAGCTTCTGCAAAGCCCTTTCTTCTCTTCTCCCACTTATTCACTGTGCCACTGACTCTGCTGTTTCTCCTTGCCTTCACGAGTTTACACTGACCATTTCTCTTCACCAGCTTGTGTCCCTACCTTGTTCAAATTCTTTATCAAATAAGAAAAATATCTTGGGGCGCCTGGGTGGCTCAGTCGTTAAGCGTCTGCCTTCGGCTCAGGTCATGGTCCCGGGGTCCTGGGATGGAGCCCCGCATTGGGCTCCGTGCTCGGCGGGAAGCCTGCTTCTCCCTCTCCCACTGCCCCTGCTTGTGTTTCCTCTCGCTGTCTCTCTCTCTGTCAAATAAATAAATAAAATCTTAAAAAAAAAAAAAGAAAAATATCTTTATTAAATGTTATTTTTAACTTGAGGTCTTACCCTGTCCAAACTACTTGAAAGTTACAGACTGTCCTATTGCTCTTATACTGCATATGTTTTCTTCCTAACACTACTGCCTTTTAACATGTTCTATTACTTACTTGTTTACTATGATTGCTTTCTGTCTCTCTCAAATAGAATGTAAAATTCTTGAGAGCATGGATTTTGTGTTTTGTTCATTGTGATGCACAATAGACAGAATTAGGTCTGTTTAGGTGCTCAATAAACATTTGTTGGAAGGATTAATAAATATTGTACTATTGGATTTATCGCATATTATACTTAATTTTACATGTATGTGCATAGATAAACATATTCTTTGCATCTGAAAATTCTGCTTCCTTCCTTAGTTAGTGAACTACTTAAAGTTATAGGAGGAATCTCAGTGACTTTTTTTGGTTATTTACTAGAAAATTTTTTCTTCCAGACTGGTTCTGTACTGGGCCATCATTTTAAAGATAAATGTTAATTGGCCAATGGTTATTTTGGCTAATTGCTTTAAGAAAGCAGAGATAAATCTTAAAGGACACACAAATCTGAGAAAGTCAACATTG